GCCTCCACATCCATAACCGGTTCCTCTCCCTGTGTCCCTTCAGCCATAGCTCCACGAAAAGCAAGACGAAGTGAGAGCTGATTTACTGTAAGAACGTCCTGCTGCTGTAAGAATCAACCAGAACACCAGGTACGTTTCAGTAGTCAACAAAGGTTTATTTCGCTATGTCGAAAACAAAATCAGCTCTGGGAAACACCCCAGCCCAGCGTCCTATTAATCCCATCACCACACCCACCGCGCACGCCCCAATCACCCCAATTACCTAATTACCCCTGCTGAACGCAACCCCATCTGCACCACACCCTATCATCATCCTATCAATTACATTCTGTCAGACCCAGCGTCATAAATCAGCGCTGTCCGCCCACATAATGTCTGTTCATCCGGGCTTCCCGTGCAATAGAGTAAGCAGCCACGTGGTTCCTCCGTCATAGCGGAAGCGCCGGTATTAGTCCCGACACTGCTCCGCGTCCGGCTCCACCAAGGCTGTTCGGAAGTCGGTTCAGAGCTCCGGCTCCACCAAGGCTGTTCGGAAGTCGGTTCAGAGCTCCGGAGACCGGCCAACGTCCGTACATGGGTAGGATGCACGCTGGGGCTGACACCAACATTGTCAGGGTTCTAAAAGGTAGGCGCTGGGGGATACGCTTTTTATAAAATGTTAATATCCTGCATCCGGCTTCTAGAATGTGTTAACAGGCCCAGCTGATTGTGCCGTGCCTTAGATATTTCGCATACATCATTATATCCCATTTCCTTTATCCGACTGTAAGTAGTTCCATTAACTCTGATGCTGAAAGGAATATATATATATCCCTAATAACTATAAAAATGTGAATCCCAGGCATATTTGTGTAATGGTATAAAATCTTTGAACTCTGGGATGAGTATAAAACAGCTGTTTATTGTTAAAACAATAAAAGCAACTATTTAAAAAACCTAAAAATCAACTGTCTTAGCTTTTGCTGGTCCACTGCCAGCATCATCAGAGTAAGCATTTGGGGTGGGTTTTTGCTTATAAACCCAATTGACTCCATGCTCTACCCATTGATGGGACCGATGGGAACGAACAACAGGAGACAAGAACAACAAGTGGATACACTAGGGGAGGAAGGGGGAAGTGGCAATGGAGGTGCACATAGAGTGTTGGATCGGGGTACACAGCTCACAGTGATCACGGGAGGGGACAATTGGAAGATAGATCGGCAGCAACATCATATGGCCGGGTGCAGGAAAGACGGGCAGGGAAGACAAAGAAAGGGAGGAGGAACCCACAGAACTGGAATATATGCCAGGAAATGAGATACAGAGAGGAGAGGTAGGATTGACCAGAGTGGGAAAGGCAAAGAAAGGAATGATGGGAGGAAAGAGAGCGACAGGACTAGAATGTAGACAAGGAGATGCGGGACAATTAGAGCAACTATGGTTAGTTAGAACAGGCAGCCCCATCACACGATCAATGGGTAGAGCACTGAGTCAATTGGGTTTGTAAGCAAACTCCCCAACCCAAATGCTTACTCTCACGATGCTGGCAGTGGACCAGCGAAAGCTAAGACAGTCGATTTTTAGGTTTTGTAAATAGTTGCTTTTATTGTTTTAACAATAAACAGCTGTTTTATACTCATCCCAGAGTTTGAGGATTTTATATCATTACACACACACACACACACACATCCCTCCTTCTCACCCCTATGGATAATATGTGTCTTCTCAATCTCAAGTCCTCTACCAGTGGCCTGGAATTTTTAGGGTTCTATGCTGCATCTTAGCTGTTCTTAACACTTCATCCTTCTGGACAAAGAGCTCATTCCTGGGATCTGTTGGATCTTCCAGCTTAGGAGTAACAGCCTGAGTACTTCTACCATCACTGGACCACCTTGTCCTTTACCTATCCTCTCCAGTTGCTCCTTCAGGCCTTGGTACTTCTCTACCTTCTCATACTCCTTCTTCCTGATATTGCTGTCACCAGAACCTCTATCTTCACTGATGTCTTCTGGTCCTTGACTACCACTACTATGTCTGATTTATTAGCCAATACTTGCCTGGCCAATCAACTAGACAACATGGATCTGGAAGTCCCACAGGATCCTAGCCCTGTTGTTCTTCAGTACCTTTTGTGAAATCTCTCATGTGGATGTGGAAAGGCCTAGCCCGTATAGATGTCCCTGTATATAATGCCAGTTCTAATATTTCAAAATTGTTCTATCCTGATCATCATTGCCTCAGTCCTCTTAAGGCAGGGATCTCCAACCCCCATCTCCGGCCCTGTGCCGTGCCACAGTCCATTGGGAACTGGGCCACTGAAGTGGTAGGTGAGTGCATGCACACACAAAATCATCCCTTCTCCTCCCCCCTCTCCTGCCACTGCTGCCATCTCCACCAGTCCACTGAGCTGGAAAAGTTGGGGAACTTAAAAGGTTAATCCTATTATGGTTCTGAAGTCAGTGTAAAGAAGCGGTTTTTTCTTTCAGAACTCTTAACTAATGGATGTGAAAACAATATACCTGAAAAACTATTTTTATACCAAATTGTTTGCAGCATAAATTGGGTTGAATATCAGGTTTCTATCTAAAATAAGAGCTTTTGACTAAGATGAAGTCGTAATACGTATCGACACTGACACCATTATGATTTATTTATGAAAACTATTCTTGAGGTATCATTAACATGGTTTGGATTACATTTAATATTTATAATTCTTGCATTCATATCTTCATGCTTTATAGTTTAATTGTGAATCCATTTTAATAATTATATTATTATAAACCACCATAATTTTTTAAAAGAAAAATGGATGCTAAATTAAACATTTAAATATTTTAAATGTGTTTTTAGGAAAAACAAAGGATGCTCTTCAGCTCCTATTATTAACATCTTTTAAATTTTATGATTTTGATTGTGTAAATATGGTATTTCATATTCACAATATATTCAGTTAAACCTCGTACTTAAAATTTCTCACCAAAACATCAATTCAGAAATAAGTTATTCAAATCATTTGTTTAACAAGAGCACAAATCAAGATCATTCCTTTTGCACAAAAACACCTGCACTTATCAACCTGAAATTAGGCAGACAGAGGCAACTATTCATTCAAATTGAAAGACCCGTAATTGTTTTTTAAAAATGGACTTGGATACAAAAGCATTTGCAAATATTTTTCTGAGACAGATTATCATTATCATTTCAGAAAGATCTATTGAGAAGGAAATACAGCAATTTGTAAATTACCTACCTAGCTCAACAAGATCCATGATTATGTATAATCCTAATAATAAATATAACTTGCACAACTGTTTCTCCTCAATCGTATCAACAAAGGAAATATAATTATTACCATAACATGTAATAAATAATAGTAAAAAATATCAACATCAAAAATACACCAAACATTTTTCTTTGAAGATAGTGATAGTGTGCTGAATACAAATTTAACAAATAAATTATGTTTTTTTCTGTAACTGCAAATTTTGTATACATAGTGACTGTGTGCATTTTCACCTTATATTTGGACAAAAAGTGCAAAGCCAAGCTCTATTATTTTAAGGGCAAAATATAACTGGTTTTACCTATTAATCCAGACATTAACTCTAACAGAAGCCCAGTAAAGGTTTATAAAAATTAAGGGAGTTCAGGAGCTAGAAACTCAATCAGATCATGCTTAGAAAGTAGATAAGAGGACATATTTGGGTTAGAGTGGGAAGATTAATTGGGAAGAGTTTAGCAATTTTTTTTTTAGTTTGGTCCTAAACATTCAGAGCATGTGTTTTGTAAGAAAATTATAGCCATCACCCACATACGTAACAAAGATGGTACTCCCATATCTTCTGTCCAAACTCTTGTTTTTGTTTGTTTTATTTTTTATAATTCTGAGCTGTTTTTATAATTATGATTGTAAAATGTTTGAGTTTTATCTTGCTGTAAGCCACTCAATTGCCTTGAAGTGCGAGATGGTGGCAAATAAATTTGAGAGAGTGAGAAAGATATATATATTCGTATTTATTGTAACTATGCAAGTGTTTTTAGCTAATAAACATTTATTTTCACTCTGACTGAGGCACAGAAAGGTTAGGATTTCATATCACATATATTACAACTCATATAATAGTATTTAAGAAATTATTCCCAAAATGAAACTTGAGTTTCATTTCCTTCTCCCCTATGTTTCAATATGTGTTTTGTAGTAAATGTTTAAGTTCATCTAAAAGCTACTGGATTATCTGCATAATTTTGTAAAAATATTTGAAGTGCTGTTTTTAAAGAGTCCACCTTTGTACAGATAGTTCTTGACTTACAACAGTTCATTTAGTGACTGTCCAAAGTTACAACACACTGAGAAAAGTGACCATTTTTCACACTAACAACCGTTGCAGCATCCCCGTGGTCCCATGATAAAAATTCAGATGGTTGGTAACTGGTTCGTATTTATGAAAGTTGCAGTGTCCCAGATCATGTGATCAGCTTTTGCGACCTTCTGACAAGCAAAGTCAGTGGGGATCCAGATTCACTTAACAACCATGTTACTAACTTAACAAATTCAATGATTCACTTAACAAATATGGCAAGAAAAGTTGTAAAATGGAGCAAACTCTCTTAACAAATGTTTCACTTAGCAACATAAATTTTGAGCTCAGTTGTGGTCGTACCTCAAGGGCTACCTGTATTTATGGAAGTTAAATAATCAAAAATTGAGATTTCAGTTTGTGCAGCTAATTATCATTGTCATTGTCTAGCAGCCAAGCCTTTTGTGAACTTCTTTGGCAATTGTTTCACTTGCTCTTTCCTCATAAAGAATGGATTAGCAAGGAAGAGGCTGAAAAGGACAGATAGTTTGATTTCTCATGCATAGCAATAGCACTGAGACTTATATACTGCTTCATAGTGCTTTACAGCCCTCTCTAAGCGGTTTACAGAGTCAACATATTTCCCCCAATAATAAGGGTCCTCATTTTATTGACTTTGGAAGGATAGTATTATACTTATATATTTTCACATATTTTCAGAACTTTCCTATGCTTGGATCTTCAATGAATACCCAACATTTGTGCAAGAAGATAATCGGAGATTTGTTTCTCAGGAAACTGGACATCTCTACATAGCTAAAGTAGAGCCATCTGATGTAGGAAATTATACCTGTGTCGTAACCAGTGCTGTAACTAACACCAACACCCTTGGATCACCAACACCTTTAGTGCTACGGACTGATGGTAGGCATTTATACTAATGTGGTGTAATCAACAGTATATGGTTTTACTGCCTACAGATTTTTTTGGAAAGCACAATTGTGTGTGTGGAAATGTATAATTTTGAAACACACTCTGTAAATTTCCGTATTTACTGTTGTGTTTTTTTAGCGATTGTTATTGTACCTCCTTTTCTTATTCGTATTTATAAATAACTTCAATTGTAGCATATATAAATTGAGCGTAGAATTTTTCACTGTGCATAAGAGTCACAGACACTTTACTACAACTAATTAATGTCAAGGAATGATTGAATGCAGCAGATGAAACATCACCTGCAAATTTTACTACATTGCAAAGATGTAGAGCAGGAATAGGATCATATGAAAATAAGTATGCCAACTCCATGGTTGATTTTTACTTACTTTCTTGTTCATGGAAATGGAAAACCTCTCTTACTCTTCCTTCAATACATCTTTCTCCCTTCACCACAACAACAGTAACCAGACAAATCTTTAATGAAGGGAATTCAGAGACACCCAGATGCACATTTCCATACACCAAAGGATTATATACTGATTATGACTTGTCATTTATACTAGCTGTTATTTCTATGTGTATAATAAATTACTTTTTCCACTTACTCAAAATCGCAATCAAGATCTGTAACAGTTCATCAGAATTCTGCTGCTATTTCATTTTTACAGGCAGATGTGTTTGCACATGCATGAAATATCAAGAAGCAATTGTAATGCAACAGAGAACGTTCAAAGTTATCTAGCTAATTGTTACATTCTACTGCATTCTCTATTTTCTTTTATTATACTACATTTTTAATGCTAATAGGAGGTAAGTTGGCATGTTAAGTCATGTCAGCTGTCAGTCAAGGGATAAAGCAATAACTATGGAAGTAGTAATCCATCTATACTTCAGCAGAACTCTTGTACAGTTGCTGATCGGGGTGTTCAGTTTCTATCTTTCTTTACCTTTTCTGGAATAACAGGTGTGATGGGGGAATATGAGCCCAAAATAGAAGTTCAGTTTCCTGAAACAGTTCCTGCTGCTAAAGGATCAACTGTGAAACTAGAATGCTTTGCCCTTGGAAAGTAAGCATATCTATTTTATTTATGATAGAAAGAATTGGACATAGAACATGCTATTGCATATGTTGTACTTATTTGAACCAATTTTAAATGAAGTAATATTGGATTATAAACTGAAGAACCTTTTATAAAGGGACTATTTATTATATAATTATTCTAGATTATATAGTAAGAAATGAACATAGATTTCATACTGTGCATTCAATATTGACTTTATGTAACAGAATCCTGAACCTGGTTTACATGGATTAACTGAGATACCAAAAACTGCAATAATGCATAATATTGGCTAAATTTATGTTTGATCAATATAAATTCAGAGAAATTTGCTGACAGCAGTAACATTAGAATGAAACAGGGCATATTAGGAGATTTGACAAGTGAAAAATCAAAAAGTTCTCAGTTTATTATTAGCAAAGTTTATTCTTGGGGACCAGGTCAATAGACGAATGGGTAGGAGATCAATGATTCAATGACAGATCTGTTTAAGCATAACATGCCTACTCAAAAACCAACAGGTGATTCAGAAAATGGCCTACTGCTGAGGCCATATGCATAAAGAACTCTGATAAATTGAAAGATAAAAAGGACAAGTATAGAAAGTGGAAAGAGGGGCACATAACTAAATCAGAATCTCAACAAATAGTCCAAGCCTGCAAAGAGAAAAGCTAAGACTCAGAATGAACTAAGGCTTGCTACCAAATTCAAAAATAACAAAAAAGCTTCTTTCAACATGTAAACAACAAGAAAAAAGTGAAGGAAATGATTGATCCATTACTGAGTGAAAGTGGCAAGAAGCTAACAAGCAACAGGGAGAAAGCAGAATTATTTAACTCGATTTTTGCATCTGTCTTTACACAAAGGGAAAAACAGACCAACCTATCAAAAATAGTGCCATAAAAAACCAGAATAGGAACACAAGTTAAGATAGACAAGAAAATGGTAAGTGAGCATCTGTCCAGCCTAGACAAGTTCAAATCACCAGGACCAGATGTATTATACCCCAAGGTTATCAAGGAACTGACAGATGTGATCTCATAATCACTGAAATATATTTTTCAAAGATCCTGGAGCACTGGGGAACTACCAGAGGACTGGAAAAGAGTTGATGTAGTTTCCATCTTCAAAAAAGGAAAAAAATGCATCCAGGAAATTATAGACCTATCAGCCTGACCTCAATACCTGGGAAGATTCTGGAAAAGATAATCAAACAATGAATCAGCGAACACCTATAGGTAAACAACGTCATTACTAAAAACCAACATGGGGTTGTCAAAAACAGATCATGCCAGACAAATCTTATTGCATTCTTTGACCAAGTGACAAAATTAGTGGAACAAAGGAATGCTGTGGATATAATTTACTTGGACTTCAGTAAGGCATTTGATAAAGTAGATCACAACCTACTGCTTGAGAAGATAGAAAAATGCGGGTTAGACAGCATTACCACCAGATGGATTCGTAGCTGGCTGACTGGCCGTACTCTGCGTGTGGTCCACAATGGAATCGCATCTACATAGAGGGAAGTGTGTAGTGGGGTGCCTCAGGGCTCTGTTCCGGGCCCAGTGCTCTTCAACATCTTCATTGACGATTTGGACAAGGGGATAGATGGGGAACTCATCACATTTGCAAATTACACCAAGCTGGCAGGAATAGCCAACACTCCAGAAGACAGGCTTAAGATACAGGAGGATCTTGACAGATTTGAACACTGGGCACTATCTAACGAAATTCAATGGTGAAAAAAGTAAGTTTCTAGATTTAGGCAAGAAAAACCAAATGTACAGGTATAGTATAGGGGGTACCTTGCTCAATAGTAGTAACTGTGAGAGGGATCTTGGAATCCTAGTGGACAATCACTTAAATATGAGCCAGCAGTGTGCTGCAGCTACCAAAAAACCAACACAGTGCTGGGCTGCATTAACAGAGGGATAGAATCAAGATCACGTGAAGTATCAATACTACTTTACAATGCCTTGGTAAGGCCACACTTGGAACACTGCATCCAGTTTTGGTCACCACGATGTAAAAAAGATGTTGAGACTCTAGAAAGAGTACAGAGAAGAGCAACAAAGATGATTGGGGCACTGGAGGCTAAAACATATAAGGAACGGTTGCTGGAATTGAGTATGTCTAGTTTAATGAAGAGAAGGATGAGGGGGGCATGATAGCAATGTTCCAATATCTCAGGGGTTATCACAAAGAGGGAGTAAAGCTATTCTCCAAAGCACCTGAAGGCAGGACAAGAAGCAACGGATGGAAAATAATCAAGGAGAGAAGCAACCTAGAACTAAGGAGAAACTTCCTGACAGTTAGAACAATTAACCAGTGGAACAACCTGCCTCCAGAAACGGTGAATGCTCCAACACTGGAAGTTTTTAAGAGACTGGACAGCCATTGGTCTGAAATGATAAAGAGTTTCCTGCCTGAGCAGGGGTTTGACTTGATGACCTCCAGGATCCCTTCCATTTATTATTATTATTATTATTATTATTATTATTATTATTATTATTATTATTATTATTATTATTCTCAATCATCGCACAGTCAGCCAGATGTTCAGACTGGATTTGGCATTTTGTCTACCTATCGAGTCCTTACCCAGGACCTGGGATAGGCAGATGTGGATGTTTGATGGTATTACAGGTATCGTCGCAGGATGGAAGCAGTTCCTAATAAGGCCGCCTTTTGCAATTGACTAATAGCGAATTTGTCAATGCCAATGGTGTTCAAGTGGTGCTCCAGTTGTTTTGGGATTGCACCCAAGGAGCCTATGACTATTGGTACTACCCTTGCTTGCTTTTGCCACAGTCTTTCTATTTCTATTTGTAGGTCTTTGTATTTTGTTATCTTCTCCAGTTCTTTCTCTTCTATTCTGCTGTCTCCAGGCACTGCCACGTCCACTATCCAGACTTTTTTGTCTTTCTTATCGACAATTGTTAAGTCTGGGGTGTTATGTTGCAGGTGCTTGTCTGTTTGAATTCTGAAGTCCCAGAGCAGTTTAATTTTATCATTTTCTATGACTTTCTCTATTTTATGATCCCACCAGTTTTTGCTTACAGGCAAATGATATTTTTTGCAGATCTTCCAATGCACCATTGTTGCTACTTTGTCATGCCGCTGCTTGTAATCAGTCTGTGCAATCTTCTTGCAACAGCTTACCAAGTGGTCCACTGTTTCTTCAGCTTCTTTGCATAGGCGGCACTTACTGTCTGTTGCTGTCTTCTCAATTTTGACTTTGTATGCATTTGTCCTTAAGGCTTGGTCTTGTGCAGCCAGAATTAGTCCCTCGGTCTCTTTCTTCAATTTTCCTGCTCTTAGCCATTGCCAGGTTTTATTATTATCTGCTTTCCCAGCTATTTTTTTCATGTATTGGCCATGTAGTGCTTTGTCTTCCCATGCCTCTATTCTGTTCTTCATTTGGTCTTTCTTGTAGGCCAGTTTGGTCTCTCCAGTAGTTAGTAAGCCTTCCTGATATACTAATTTCAGTGCATCTTCATCATTGTTCTTCAGATATTCTTCCAAAGCCATTTTTTCTTCTTCAACCATCTGATGTACTTGTAGCATTCCACGCCCACCTATTTGCCTTGGTAGATAAAGTCTATCAATGTCACTGCGTGGATGAAGGGCATGATTCATTGTCATTATTTTTCTGGTCTGCCTATCCATTGCTTTTAGTTCTGCTTGAGTCCAGTCCACTATTCCAGCTGTGTACCTAATGACTGGGATTGCCCAGGTGTTGATTGCCTTTATGGTATTTCCTCCATTGAGTTTGGATTTTAAGATCTTCTTCACTCTCTTGATGTATTCACCTCTAATCTTTTTCTTGACTTCAGTGTGCTTGATGTTGTCAGCTTGAAGGATACCCAAGTATTTGTAGTACTCTTCCTCATCCAGACTCTTAATGTTATTTTCGTGGGGCATCTTGATTCCTTCAGTTTTCACTATTTTTCCTTGTTTGATAGTAAGTGTGGCACATTTGTCCAAGCCAAACTCCATTACAATATCTTGGCTATATATACGGACAGTGTTGAGCAGCGATTCTATTTCAGATGATGTTTTTCCATACAGCTTCAGATCATCCATGTAAAGGAGGTGGGATAGTCTGGCAGATGTTTTTGATGTTTGATAGCCATGTCCTGAGTTATTCAGTATTGTTGACAGAGGAAACAGTGCAATAACAAATAGTAATGGTGATAATGAATCTCCTTGAAATATTCCTCTCTTGATATTAACCTCTCCCAGCTTTCTCACCATTGATCTGCAACTGTGTCTTCCATTGTGCCATCGATCTTTGCACAAATTTTCTGATGTTTCTACTGACTCCTGTTATTTCTAGGCACTTTATTATCCAATCATGTGGCAGAGAGTCAAATGCCTTTTTGTAGTCAATCCATGCCACATTCAGGTTGGTCTTCCTTCTCTTGCAGTTTTCCAAGATCATTTTGTCTATTAGGAGTTGATCTTTTGTTCCTCTGCTATTGGGGCGGTTTCCTTTCTGCTCAGGTGGAAAGAGATTGTTTTCAACTAGATGCTGTTGTACTGCATCAGCTACCACACCAGTTAGTAATTTGAAAGTTGTTGGTAAGCAGGTAATTGGCCTGTAGTTACCTGGTGTTGCCCCTTTTGCTGGATTTTTCATTATTAGGTAGGTTTTCCCAGTTGTTAGCCACTTTTCAATTTCTCCTCCTTGTAGTATATTGTTGAATTGCTTGGCAATGAGTGGGTGTATAACAGTTAGATGTTTCAACCAAAACCCATGCAGTTCATCTTCACCTGGTGCTGACCAATTTTTGATTTTCTTTGCTCTTTTTTCTACCATTTTTGTTGTTATTACTAGTTCTTTCATTTCAACTTCTGTTTTATTTGCATCCACCTCTTTTAACCAAGCCGCATCCTTGTTGTATTTCTTTGGGTTATCCCATATCTGCTTCCAGAACTGCACTGTTTCTTCCTTGTCAGGTACTGACTGATTCCTTGCAGTTTCTCCATTGATGGATTGGTAGAAACGTTTCTGATTGGATTGAAATTGGAGGTTCTGCCTATAGTTTGCAATTCGAGCTTCATATCTACTGATTTTCCTGGCTATAGCTGTTATTTGTTGCTTTATTATTTCCAGTGCTTCCTTGATCTTCCTTGTTTCTAAGTGGTATTTCTTGATTAGGTATTCTTTGGTCTTCTTGTTCTTCAGCTTCTTTTCTTTCATCTGTTCTAGCTTGCTTGCATGTGATCTTAACTTGCTGATCTTATTTTCTAGTCTAACCTTCCATTTTTGTGGTGCACTGTTTGTTTGTTTTTCTTTTTTGTTGATTTTACATCCCAGGTATTCTGTTATAACTGCAGCTGTGCTGTACATTAATTGGTTTGTTTCTTGCAGTGAATTGGTGCTTATACTTGCTATTGCAGTATTTGCATCTTTTAATGCTTGTGCTAGCTGTTTCTTTGGAACAAGCTTCAATGCAGGCAGCCTTATTCTGTTGTTTTTGTGCTGTTCTAGATGCTCAATTATTCTTTGTTTCAATTCTTTTATTTCTTTAGTTAGAGGGTTTTGTTCTTCCTGAGGAAGAGGTGCCTGGTTTCCAAATGAGAACAGTTGTATATCTCTACTGGATTCTTTCACTGCCAACTCCCCCTGGTTTGCCTCTACATTCTGAATTACTTCTTGTAAGGCTTTGATTTCTTTGCCCTGGGTAAACCTTTGCAGTTCGTCTAATTCTGTTTCTGTAAATACTTTATTTCGTGTTATAAATCGGCGTTGATCTGCTAGTCTCTGTTCTGTTATTTCTGATTCTGGATGTTGTTCTTTCCAGAACTGGTGCATTCGTTTTAGATATCCTCTTCTTGTTGGACTTGATCTGTAGTAACAGATCATTATTTCTTTGTTTTCCATCACTGTGTATCTGCGACGGGTAAACACCTTTTCTTCCAGTAGTTCTGCAGCTGCTGGCCCTGGTTGCTCAGCCAACAGTCCTGAGTCCTGTAACCCATTTTTCACCAGATATCCAGGAACTCCAATATCTAGTGCGGACCTTGTTAACCCGGGCGACGTCCGAGCCGGTATGGCATTCTGAAATTTACGTCTCACCATATTTTTTATGGGAGAGACACTCTTTGTCTGACTCCTCTGATGAGACCTGTCCAGTATGGTTGAACCTCTGGCATAGCTCTCATCTTCCTCAGAGTACACAAGCCCCACAACCACGTCAAGGTAGTGCCTCACTGGGGGATGATTATTATTATTATTATTATTATTATTATTATTATTATTATTATTATTATTATTTTGTAGGGTTATTGATCCTGATAAAAACATCTTGTAAATAGTCTTGTTTTTCCTTCCTTCCTTCCATCCACAATGTAGTACAGCAGCTCCAACCTTTTTCATATCTCATACCCCTAGAACGCTTCTGATATATTCTTGCACTCCTTACAAAAGTTGAAAATAACAGCAATGAATTATACATATACACTAGAATCCAAGTTTTCGCAGCCCCTGAAATATTGTCTCGCACTCCCATGGGATGCAAGCACCCCCATTGGAAACCCCTGAGATAATAGGTGGAAAGATTGATTTCAATTAAATTTTCATTCCATCTTTTTGAAGGGTTGAAGAGGTTTGTCTAAAAAAAAAAATAAGAATCACTCTTGAGCAGATTTAAACCATTAACTGATAACTGCCTTCCAAAAGCATACCAAATACTGTAAATTCCTTCTAATATGTAAATTGTGATATTTTTCTTTTTTAAAAAAAATCAGATAATAATGTACAGCACAATCTTTAAAATATTCAATTTAATTTCATTGCTGTAGTCCAGTTCCTCGAATTAACTGGAGAAGAGCTGATGGGACACCATTTCCAAGCAAAGTAATGTTGAGAAAATCCAATGGCATGATTGAAATTCCAAATTTCCAACAAGAAGATGCTGGTCTTTATGAGTGTATCACTGAAAATACTAGAGGGAAGAATATTGCAAAGGGACGGCTCACATATTATGGTAAGCATTTAAAAAAAAAAACAGTTCTAAAAGCATTTAAGGAATGTTCATTTGAGAGGTGCTACTATTTCCCACTTTTTTCCAACTACAAAAAAACTTTTGAAGAAATTTCAGTTAAAAGAGTTCCCAATGTTATCTTGTGAGGTTCTATGGCTAGGATTGGGCTTGAACCTGGTCTTTCCAGAACCTGCCCCAAATTCTGTAACTCTGCAATGACATACAAAAGAAAATGTGTTAAATCAGTGATATAAGTGTGTATGTGTTCAATTTGAATATTGAAGATACTAATTCACTATTAGCTTTTGATAATTAATTTACCTTTTTGTTCAAAGTTTTAGAAGTTACGGACTTTGATGAGAACTTCTAAGTGAATAAAGTTCATATATATGTCACAGAGAACTCAAATTATTGTAAATGGAGACTTAACAACATCCTATGAAATTCAAAAAGGAACACAATAAAGCTGCCCATTATCCCGCCTTTTGTTTCTATTAGTCTTGGAAGTCTTGAATAGAAACATAATGCAAAGTGAAGGGGTAATGGATAAAGATTTAAATATATAAAGCATTTGCAGATGATGTGTTATTGGCGTTGGAAGATCCATTGAAAAGGATAGAGTTAATAGGAAATGAAATTGGTATGCTTGCTGACTTTAAGATTGATAAATAAAAGACGAAGATGTTAAGAAAAAATATGGAGACATAGGAGCAAGCAAAATTAATGAATGGCACCGTGTTCAACATAGAGAAAAAAATAAAATATTTGGTTATTAACTTGATTAACATGAATTGTATGTTGTTTAAGCATATGTTAAGATGTGGAATGAAGTTTTTAAAAGTATTTTAAAATGGGATGAATTACAATTGTCATTATTGGCAATAATTTCTGTGAAAAAATAAGAATCCTATTCCTTTTTCAAACATTCCCTATTCAAACATTCCCTATGGGTTTAGTATTTAAACAATAGCAGAAATAAATATATACATTTATTTAGCAAGATAAAAAAAAATAAAAATTGAGCAAAAGGTCATTCATGACGCTTACCAGATTTGAAAGTGTACTTTGCAGCTTGTTGCTTAATTTGGTTGAAAGAACGGGTGATGCTGAAGGGTAGAAGGTGATTGGATTTAGAAGGGCACAATTTGAGATTTGGGTGGCATGCCTATGTATGATATGACAAGATTTCAGAAATCATTTCATTAGATGTGCCATCCTGAGAATTTGGAATAAATATAAACCTCATATATGTCCAAAAGTACCTTGCTGGATTTCCCCACAACAAGCATATTATAAAAAAGAAATGGCAACTAGACAGAAGTGTTTAAGTATGGTGAATTGCTAGAATACTATCAAGATATGGTTGTATTTAAAATATATTTTTTTTATTTTGAAAAACTTAATAAAGCTGTTTTAAAAACTGAATTTGCCTTAACTGGGGCAGAAGTTTTGATTGGCATGAAATTTCTAATATTTTCAGCTTGGCAGTTCTTTCCTTTTTCTTTCTATTGCTGAAAAATGACAGCAGAAAAAAATTGCTTATACACTACTAACTTTCTAACTAAAGATTCTGGATCTAAAATCAGGGTCGACCCATCTATGTATACGAAAAAACCAAATAAAAGAAAGAACGAATAAAAACATGTGTTATTTTAATTGTCTATCACATGACCCCGGGACACTGTAACCGTCATAAACACATGTGATCATTGTTGTAAGTTTGAAAAATGGTCAGAAGTCACTTTTTTCAGTGCCGTTGTAACTTCAAATGATCACTAAATAAATAGTTGTAAGTAGAGGTTTACCTGTTCAACATATTAAGGGTATTAAATTTTGTCTAGGGCTGGCAAAGCTCCTCCAGCCTTCTACATCTTAACTTCTTTTAATGGGCAGCTGTCAGGATATTACAGGATGCTGCTGTGTGTGTTAAACTTAATCTCTGTTGATAAAAAACAGAACTTAAAAGACCTATAAAGAACTGTGACAAATTATAATTAGCCGCTGCAACAGAATAATTAATTATCTGAAACTTTAATTTTATTTGCTTATTTTAATGCAAAAATCATACTTTCACAATACCTCTACAACAGTGGTTCTCAACCTTTTTAATGCCGCAACCCCCAACCAGTCGTAAGTCGAGGACTACTCAACCGGTTGTAAGTCACGGACTACTCACTGTTTGCAGAATGGGACTTTTGGCGGGCTCAGCAGGCAGAGACAGCCTGGACAATTCCTATTGGCTTTTGAAAGCCAATAGAATTAGACTCTATTCAAGAGAGTCTATTCTATTGGCTTTCAAAAGCCAATAGAATAAAAGGGAGTAGCACAGCTAAGGAAAAGGGGAAAAAAAATGGCGGACTGCATTGTTTGGCAACCCCCGTGAAATGGTCGTTCGATCCCAAATGGGGTCCCGACCCACAGGTTGAGAACCACTGCTCTACAAGGCTACTGTACGTGATCTGCTTTTTCTAAAATATTACTTTGCAAATTATATGGGCATAATGCCATTTTTCTTCCTATTTTCTTCAACACATTTTTGCTTAATAAAATATGAAATAAGCACTCTATGAAAATCCTCTTGCACATTTTAAAATATGCACCCACTGAATGCCAGCAAAGTATATTGCTATTTTGTTGGGGAAAAAGCTGAAGTACTAGCTAAGTGTTAATTAGCAATTTTTATAAAACATTATACCCCAAAATGTAATTTTCCTTGTGAAAACTGCAAGTTAAGGAACGTTTCACTTCCAGTTGGAATGAAAATGCATAATACGAGGAAGCCATATAGGAATATTTTAATAATATTTTTATTCCATAAGGCAGTATAGCAATGTAGCTTGCCTTTTATTCTATAAATTAAAAAATAATTAATATAAATAAATTTCTCATATGAAATAGAAAAGCATTGGCAATCACAGCTGCCTTAAGTAAATAGCTTATCTGCTGTTCATCTGCTGCTTAAAATAATAATACACAATACAACAAAGATTAATTACCAGCAAATTTATCAACAACTTTGACAATTAACTCTAAAAATTAACTGGAGATTTACCTGCATCATTGTATGCCAGTCATACCTTCTAATTTCTTAAGTTGATTATTTGTTTTATTGCTGTTGTTCATGTCATAGGACCAATGCATTTCATTTTTTTTCTTGTTTTGACTGCAAATATCAAATATTGATGTTGCTTCTTTACCCAATTTACTGCAAATATTTTCCTGGAGTCAACCCTCCTTAATTTAAACCATATTGTAAAATCTAAATTTGAAAAACATTTAGGTTGGTTAGTTAGTTAGTTAGTTAGCCACCCATCGTACGACACGGTAGGGCAACATTGATATATGCAATGTAATTCAGGGCTAAATATTTTATTATTCAAGATGTACCAGTTCAACTGACAATTCCAAAGATATAGGAATTAATTTAAGGACTGGTTCTACCCATCAGCTGGAGACTTGGCCAAAAATTGGTATGAGTATTATGTTTGTTTGTTGAATATTGATCTATTCAGCAAAACATAGAAAAACAATACAGGTCCTTTTTATTAAAACCATATAGATTCATAATAAAACCTATGTTTTGTGTAGGCTCTAGGGATTTGATAGAAAACTGCCACTTTAGATGATGTTTTATTTATTAAATGAACAAGCAGCATCTTATTTGGATTTTGATTTCCCAACGAAACTTTGCAATCACAATTTGCAATTTAATTTAAAAGTCTGTGTTCCATTGCTTCTCAACTCACATTTTAGAAAAGGCTTGTTGTGCAAGCCTTTCAAACTATATATTTTTTCTATATTTTAACAGCTTATATCCATATTTTTAAATATTCTTGACCACAGGAATCACAGGAAGGCTTGGAGATATTGGCCCAGCAATTCTCTCTGTCACTAAGTCTGGCACATGGCTTTTCTCTGCTTGGTATCACTTTTGATCTCGTGTCAACTTCAAAATCTCTAAGGAATCAAAATTTCTCGGTGTATCTCAGGATCACCAGGCAACATTTTTTTTCTTTCTTAATTCATAAATCTTCAGTAGTCTTCATGTCTAGAATTTATTTGAGGCTGTGCAAGCCAATATGCCTCCCAAGTCTTCTTCCCAGAGTTTGTCTGAAAAAATTAAGATTCTGCCTCTTAGGACAGTACAACAGCCTTTTTTCCCCCTCCATTGCATACATCTTCCAATGAGAAAGTAGACTAAGCTAATCTCAGCTTTTGCTCTCACTTAACTAGCATAAAGCTTTGGGGTATTTTTGTGGATGTCTAACAGCCAGAAACAATCCATAATAAAATGCAGAATATCATATAGCTTACCACATCCTACATATTTTAAAAAAGAAAAGGCTGGGGAAGAGTCTTTTCCTGATGTTAGAGTTACCTGTGTTACAGGCCTGGAGACTAAAACAAATGAAGAACAGTTGCAGCAATTGGGTATGGCTTGTCTAGAGAAAAGAAGGACTAGGGATGACATGATAGCAGTGCTCCAGTATTTGAGGGGCTACCACAAAGAACAGGATCTACCTATTTTCCAAAGTACCAGAAGACAAGACAAGAAACAATGGATGGAAAGTAATCAAGGAGAGAAGCAATCTAGAACTAAGGAGAAATTTCCTAACAGTGAGAACAATTAACCAGTGGAACTGCTTGTTTTCAGAAGTTGTGGATGTTCCATCACTGGAGGCTTTTAAGAAGAGACTGGACAGCCACTTTGTCTGAATGGTATGGGGTCTTCTGTTTGAGCAAGGTGTTGGACTAGAAGACCTCAAACGTCCCTTCTAACTCTATTCTGTATTCTGTAATTTTTAAGTCACTTCCATACCTATACAGAAAATCAGCAGCTCAGTACTGTTTGCTTATCTGATGTTGTACCACAATTTTGTGTGGTTGCAAGGTAATATACCAGTATGCACTCTTCTGTTGATATCCTTCATTTTTTTTCTGAAGGTCTGTGATTAATGAGAATCCACAACTCCATAAGACTTTTTACTACTTAATTCAGATCATAACTCTTTTCTCTGTAGTGCGATATACTTTTCCCTTGGAAATATTTTTTTCCTGAAAGTTAAAGGATTAGCACTTTTGTACTAATCCATCTTCTAGACCCATATCAGAAGCAGCAATGTACAAAACAAATGGAAAAGTAAAACATCCAGCTATATCCACTGCAGTTTTGGGAAATGGAACAAGGATCAATGTGATTATTTTCATGGAACTTTGCCTTGTTTCTCTTAAGGTTTAATATATTTGGCTTTCTGGACAGGATGATCATGAATGTTCTACATCTTATTAGAGTTTTTCATGCCCCATACAATAGGAAAAGCAAATCAGGTTGTTCTAGTGGTTACGCTGGAAACCTGGAGACCATGACTTTTATTCTGCCTTAGGCACAAAGCCCTCTGGGGGACTGTGAAGAAGTGAAGCTGGGATTGTTGTCTGTACTTGAGAAAAGCAGTGGCAGCCAGGCAGAAATTATTTCCTTTCCCCCCAAGGCTCAGGGTTGCTAATGCTTTCCCCCAAAAGTTTAGAGCCCAAGAAATTTGAGGAGAGGTGGCCTCAATCATTTATTAATTTCACCCACTTGCAGTTTACTCACTAGCATCCTTGCTGGCGTCAAGCTGCCTGGCTAATTAAGCCACACCCTGACATTTTTAAGAAAGTGCTCATGTCCAGAGGAAGCCTCATTTTCCCCAGGCTTACAGAAGTGAATACTAAGATAAGAGTGGAAAAAAGGGGGAGTTGTAGGAGAAGAGGAGATAGGAAAACAGCAAGCCGTTGGGGGAGTGGGAGGAAACTGGAGAATGCAAGCAAAAGGACTATCAGTTCAGAATCTATCTGACTCTTGACTATGAGAGGCAACTGCCAGGACCACAAGCTAGGCTAAGCAGCCTATCCTGGTGGGAGTCCTACCTGAAACTTGGCCTGGAGCTCTGCAGCAACCACTGAAGTAGCATCTAATCACAACTAGTGCAAACTCTTCAACATCTTCATCAACAATTTGGACGAGGGGATAGATGGGGAACTCATCAGATTTGCAGATGACACCAAGCTGGCATGAATAGCCAACACTCCAGAAGATAGGCTTAAGATACAGGAGGATCTGGACAGACTTGAACACTGGGCACTATCTAACAAAATAAAATTCAATGGTGAAAGAAGTAAGGTTTTATATTTAGGCAAGAAAAACCATATATACAGGTATAGTATAGGTGGTACCTTGCCCAATAGTAGTAACTATGAGAAGGATCTCAGAGTCCTAGTGGACAATCACTTAAATATGAGCCAGCAGTGTGCTGCAGCTGCCAAAAAGCCAACACAGTGTTAGGCTGCATTAACAGAGGGATAGAATCAAGATCACGTGAAGTATTAATACCACTTTACAATGCCTTGGTAAGGCCACACCTGGAATACTGCATCCAGTTTTGATCACCACGATGTAAAAAAGATGTTGAGACTCTAGAAAGAGTACAGAGAAGAGTAACAAAGATGATTAGGGGTCTGGAGGCTAAAACATATAAGGAATGGCTGCTGGAATTGGGTATGTCTAGTTTAATGAAGAGAAAGACGAGGGAGGACATAATAGCAGTGTTCCAATATATCTCAAGGGCTGCCACAAAGAGGAGGGAGTCAAGCTATTCTCCAAAGCGCCTGAAGGCAGGACAAGAAGCAACGGGTGGAAACTAATGAAGGAGAGAAGCAACCTAGAACTAAGGATAAACTACCTGACAGTTAGAACAATTAACCAGTGGAACAACCTGCCTCCAGAAGCTGTGAATGCTCCAACACTGGAAGTTTTTAAAAAGAGACTAGACAGCCATTTGTCTGAAATGGTACAGGGTTTCCTGCCTGAGCACGGGGGTTGGACTAGATGACCTCCAAGGTCCCTTCCAACTATTATTATTATTATGGATTATCGCACAGTCAGCCAGATGTTCAGACTGGATTTGGCATTTTGTCTACCTATCGAGTCCTTACCCAGGACCTGGGATAGGCAGATGTGGATGTTTGATGGTATTAAAGGTATCGTCGCAGGATGGAAGCAGTTCCTAGTAAGGCCGCCTTTTGCAATTGACTAATAGCGAATTTGTCAATGCCAATGGTGTTCAAGTGGTGCTCCAGTTGTTTTGGGATTTCACCCAAGGAGCCTATTACTATTGGTACTACTCTTGCTTGCTTTTGCCACAGTCTTTCTATTTCTATTTGTAGGTCTTTGTATTTTGTTATCTTCTCCAGTTCTTTCTCTTCTATTCTGCTATCTCCAGGCACTGCCACGTCCACTATATTATTATTATTATTATTATTATTATTATTATTATTACTACTACTACTACTACTACTACTACTACTTTTGGAGGGAGACAATGGTTGTATGACATTTTACTGACTGCCATTTTGTTTGCTTGAAGGACTAAAGGATTAAAGGTATATTTATGTAGCTATACTGACTTGCAAAGCCTAGGAGGTAGAGTTAACGCAAAACAATAATCCGTGGTTGGGGAAGGTTTGTGGCACAATAAAGTATTGTGTTCATAAGTGCTATGATCTGGTGTGTCCAGTCCATGGGAAGTAAAGAACCCTCACAGGGAGTTTGGGCCACTCCCTCTTTGGATGTAGAGGGATAAAATTGGATACAGAGAAACAAAATACTATAGCCGGAAGGGAAGGGAAGGGACAGTCTTAGATTTATGGCTGGATCACCTTAACTGAGATTAAGTCTGTTTTAATGACAGGTCAGATCTGAAGTGGAGACTCCAGGGGGAAATTATGTTCTCAATGATTGATAAGTAAACCATCTCAGAGCAAGGGAGCTGTGTGGATGACCTAAAGTCTCTTTGACACTATCTTTCTATTATTTCAGTGTCTGTCATAATGCTTTTTCTTTGCTTTTATTTCTGCAGATATTGTATGCGACTGTGTTATGTAGGCAGTGGGCCTGTGGTTATAAACTTTCAGTACACTGTGGCAAGATCCATAGCATCAGCAATTAGACGTAAAAAATATACTGTAAATGAAATGTTTATTCCATTTACTTCAAAGTGATTTAAAGGTTAACTACATTTAGTAGGTAGTAATTTCAAAGGCAGTAAATTATGTTGAACTTTCATTCAACCAAATGTCTATATTTATATCTATAGTACATGTGTATCTATATCTTCTTCCTTCTGGATGTTTGCATATTAGTTAAGCAAGACAGTGAAATTACTATCTTACTACCAACAGGTTAAAAATGTTTACAGGACCGTGCACATGACATTATGAGATGAACATTTAGAGAACATTTTGAATTGAATTTCTTGCATTCATTTGTTTTTGCTTTTCCCAGGTCCCACACATGGTTTCTCTTTTATTAATTTTCTTATTTTATTTTTGCTCTTTTTATTATTTAAGCCAAGCCTCACTGGGTTCAACTGATAAAAGATTTTGAAGCTGCAGTGGAGGACAACATAGACTGGGAGTGCAGAGCAAGTGGCAAACCTAAGCCTTCCTACAGGTGGCTAAGAAATGGAGAACCTCTAGCATTAGAGGTAATGCGCTTTTGTTTGTTGATCTTGTTTATTTAAAAAAATTATGCAGAATTATATTGACTAAACATTCAATATAATTCATAATCAATATGAAATCAGTGCCATGGCAAATTTCTTCTGCATTTTTTTAAATTATGCATCTTCCTTTTGATGGAAGAGGGAAAAATCAAGAATTTTCAAGGAGGCTGAGAAACGTGCATGTGAATGTCTTGTTTTTCATTATTTAATCTTCCCTGCAGTATGTTTTCAAATTGCTTGTCTCCCTGTGTAAAAGCGTGAGAGAAGAAGACATCTTAAGGGAATTCTTCCATGGCTGTCTTCCTAAAACAGGAAGCATGAGCAGTCAGGGAAGCTCCCATATATAACAGAATACAAAAACACCAGCTGCTTCTTGCCATGTTGCAACATTGTTCAGACGCAGCACTGAGGCAAGCTGAAAAAGATCACTAAAAAGTATTCCAAAGAAAGATTCATGCATTCTTAAAATACCTGTAACATGGAAAAACTATAGCTTGTTTGCTTGTGGGAAAACTTGTAGGAAAAATACTTGTTCAGCATGCTTTAAATTAAATTAGTGAACTGAGCAGGGTGTTATTTCAAACTGACCCCATTCAAATCTAAAATGATATAATTTAGAGAATTTGATGGACAGCTTTAGTTTTAAAAAATAAAGGGGAAAGGGGAAAGACAGAAAGAAGGCCATCTGTTAAGGCAACTTTTTGGCATCAATCAAGAATATCGCTATATTCCCAAGATAGCTATTTAGGTAACTGTGAGCTCATGGTATAGAGAATAATAGTGAGCTGTTTAAAATTTTTTCTAGAGAGTTTGTCATCAGAACTGTCTCTTCTCCTATGTTTATAAGTCTGAGATTTAAATCTTATGTGATCTTGCACATTTTAATTATACTTTTACCTGTATTTTTAGCATGATAAAATAAACCTAATTTATTTTACAAGAAAAAGATGTTAGTATTTTGAAATAAAGTTGGGAAGTTATGAACAAAGAAAGGTCAGGGCATCCACAAATTGAAAGAGTGCCCGTAAGTTACATCTACTGTGATTGAGATTTTTAAAAATTGTTTAGTCCACTAGCAACAACTAGAAAAGAATGCTGTTCTTCCAGAATAGCACAGGAACAAAGGGAAATACCCCTTCTCCAATCCTAATGGATGAATGTTTGTGGTCTTGGGAAGAGAGGATCATAAAGCAAAAATAAAAATGGTCAAGCAAAATGAAGCAGTGTTCTTTTTAGCTTATTTCCACATGGTAGTAAAGATAATTTTAGGGTCATTAAGATTATTAGATCCATTGTATAAAAAAGTTACAACTCTTGGTATTAAAGTCCATTGATATATTTGGTACAGCATTATATTTTTTTTCTATCCTGTATATAGGCAGATAATCCAAAAATAAATCTCTTCAGTTTATCAATCTCTGCACAATATAATCTTGGATAAATTTGCTACATCAAAATTAGTATCATTCTCATTTGTCTTTTTTCCAGAAAATTATGTCACTAGTATTCAAGGACTTATTTAGTTCCTTTCCATAACTTCTGCTTTTATTCAAAGAATTATGGAATCAAGATTGTAAGTGACCTTGGACATCATCTAGTCTAAGTCACTGGCCGATACAAGAAAGTAATACTATAACATATCCAACAAATGTCCCTCTACCCTCTGTTTATATCTTTATATCTTGAGCAAAGGAGACATAGACTCTCCAGGGAGACATTGTTCCACTGTTGAATAGCTTTTACCATTAGGAAATTTTAGCTGAAGTGCATTCAAAATCTATTTCTTTGTAATTTAAACTCATTCTTTCTTGCTCTGCCTTCTTGCTCTGCCAACAACTCTGAACAATTCTGCCCTCTCTTCTGTATGACAGCTCTTCAAATATTTGATAGCAGCATCATGTGTCTTTGCAGTCTTCTCTTCTCCAGGCTAAATACACACAATGATTACAGGTATTCCTTATACGTTTGTCCTAACTGGTTCTTTCCTTTTCTGAACATATTCCAGTTTGTCAGTGTCCTTCTAAAAATGTAGTGCCCAGAATGGAATGCAGTAATCTAGGTGTAGCTTGATTCATGAGGAATAGAGAAGAATAGTGATTTCTTGTCACTGTACTTCTGTTGATGAAGGCTAGGATTGCATGTGCTCTTTTTGCAGCTTTGTTGCACCCATGGATCATAATCAGCTTGTGAGTCGCTCAAATACTTTTTGTGTGTATTACTGCCCAATATAATACTTCATCCTTTAGTCATGCCTTTGGATTTGCATTGAAATTCAGCTTACTAGCTCCTGTCTGTTATTACAATTTCTCAAGTATTCCTGAATTTTGATACTAACTCCTGATACTTGCTGTCCTGTGATTTTTGTCATACAGCTTGCTTCTGGGTTCAATTCAAGGTTCATGACATGGGAACAGGTTATCTGAGGAACCATCTTATTTCAATTGGATTAACCATCCCGCTTACTCCAGTAGAAGAGGCTTTCTACAGACCCCATTAGCCAAGTTTAGAGGGCAGGGACCACAGCAAAGAAGGCTCTTCTAGGTCCCACTAGGAATCTAGGAGAAGAGCCTTCTTTGTTGTGGCCCCTGCCCTCTAAACATCTTGTAAACAGAAGAGATTTCCCTCCAACCCTTCTGGCTTTTCAAAAGGTTCTTAAAACCTAGCTCTGCTGGTTGATACCCTGGTGGGGGTGCACTCTGCTGGTTGGTTGAGTGAGAGATAGAAGCCTACTGCCATACCATCCATGAGGGTAGATTTTTGGTTTTTAACTTTTATTTAATTGTTGTTAATTTTAGTGCTTCTATATTATGGTTTTATTCCATTGTAAGCCATCCAAAGTCACTCTGGGTAGAGAGATGGATGGCATATAAATGTAATAAGTTTAATAAATAAATATCTGCAATTTGATTATCATATTTTTGACTTCTTATCCAAGTTATTTATAATTGGGTTGAACAACACAGGGTTTAAAATGTCCTTAAAAACTCTGCAAAATGGCCAGTCAGCAGTCCTTCCCTTTCAGTGCTAAGTTGTTGATGTTAACTCGTTGTGTATAATTGTTCAACCAATTTTACTGTACATCTGGCTAACTGTAGCATAATTGAACCTCGATGTTATGGTTCCGGCTAATGAAATACTTCAAAGAACTTCCAGGCATATTTTCCTAAAAGTCATTTATTGTTACAAAATGTCGGCACAGGCATAATGGAGGTATGCGAAGATCTAAATTCTCTTCCTGTGAGCAATTAAATTATCAGCATGTTCCCTCCCCAAATTAGCTGTCATATATCACGTTATCCAATTAGTATGAAGATCAAAGATTTCCTTCCTCTCTCTTTCCCTTTAACCTCTTCTGCTCTGCATTAACTCTAAAAATACCAGACAGTTCTGCATATTGTCAAAGCAAGAATATACAGTATTTGCAGTGTTGACACTCATATTGTATTTTCTCTACCAGAATCTCATGGAAAACATGTCAAATACTTTGCTGAAGTCCCATGCCAACTTCATTCCAATGGACAATTGTAGTCACCACTTTGGAGACCTTAGTGCTCTCTGAGCTTGGTAGTTTGCTTGTAGATGTTTCATTACCCAAATATGTAACCATCAGTGTGAGTGAGATTTGTTTCATATTTATGTACAATAGCTGCCAGTATTGATAGAGTGTATTTTTCCCCTTGGTGGTACTTTGATTAGGGTATTGTTTTCTGCTGGATTGTTTGCCTGGTATTAATTGGTGGATATTGGCTGCTGGAGAGGATGTATCCTAGTCTTTATGTTTCCTTCTTAGCTTTTTTGTTATCTCTTTTGAATGGTATGTAAATATGGTTTATTTTTATGTGTCTTTTGATGGCTAATTTGTTTGAATGTCAAGTTTCCAGGAAATCCTTATGTTTATAGCTTGGTTAGGATGGTCACATTTAGTTTGGTCCCCACTGAAACTGTGGTTGAATCTGTCCAGGGTTGTGAGATTAAAATTTTTTTCATCCTGTTTTTTGACTGCTAGTTGTTGTTAATAGATGTGCTATGCTGGTCTTCTTCCCCATCACTCTATCCCAAACTCATCATTCTATTTAAAAAAAGGTGTTTTTTTTTATAAATGATGCCAACCAACCCATAAACTCATGCAGCCTATCGCATTCTATTCTAAATGTTCACAAGCTCGTTGCTTTATAATGTATTTCAGGATTTTGTTTGGAATTTACATCAAACTGGGTTCTTTTTCCCCCCTTTTTTTGCAAAGATAGGAACAACATTTGTCCAACTCTCGTCCTCTAGCACTATACCCATTTTCTTCTGAAAAATGCTCATCCTCCATGATTTCTGAATGATCATATAAAAGTCTCTGATATGAAATCTGCAAGATCCTTCTAGACCAGTGGTTCTCAACCTGTGGGTCGGGACCTCATTTGGGGTCGAACGACCATTTCACGAGGGTCGCCAAACAACGCAGTCCGCCATTTTTTCCCCCTTTTCCTTAGCTGTGCTACTCCTTTTTATTCTATTGGCTTTTGAAAGCCAATAGAATAGACTCTCTTGAATAGAGTCTAATTCTATTGGCTTTCAAAAGCCAATAGGAATTGTCCAGGCTGTCTCTGCCCTGCTGAGCCCGCCTAAAGTCCCATTCTGCAAACGGTGCTGCACCAGTTGAGTAGTCCTCGACTTACGACCGGTTGAGTAGTCCTCGACTTATGACCGGTTGGGGTCACGGCATTAAAAAGGTTGAGAACCACTGTTCTAGACTCTTGGAAATTATAGTTGCTTGCATGAATTCCTAGTTTTCTAATAGAATAAAAAGCTTGTCTTTTTATTCTTTGCCATCTGTCAACATACCTTTACATGTTGACCATTATATGACCTGCTGCATGGCTGTTAATTCTAATGTTCTTATTCAGTATTTGTTTGAATTTGATGGATTGGTTTCCTGTGACTTGCTATGTGCAATTTTTCTCTCTGGTGACTGATATCCAGACCTGATCAAA